TTCTTTATATTTTAGGTTAATAGGGTTAGTCCTTTTGATCACCATTTTCAGAAGCTATTTCCTTGATACATTCTGAATAGGAGGCTACCTGATAGCCACACCTAATCCAAACAAAATACGTGCTATTTATCTTCTTTCGATCCAGAGATCTATTAAAACTTCTTTCTCACATGTGATTTGTTTTGTTTCCTAATCATTATATCAAAACTTGTGATTTTCTGAAAATAGAAGTGGTAAACAATGCCGATTTTTTGAAAAACAGAAAATGGCAAAAGGGTAGTTGTAGTTTTGTGAGTTTCCAACCAGAGAGTGTTTTTTTCAAGAGTTCTTTATAGCTTTCTGTTTCCAAACAAACTTGAGTTTACCTTCTATCTATTGTTTTTAAAGACTTCTCTGGTTTGAATACTGAATGCAAAAGGGAGTCTACTAAAGAGAAGAGAAAACTTGACCCTTTGCAAACCATCCAAAATGCTCGCTCCTTGGTGTATCATGTTTAAAAACTTTATTGACAATAGTTTATATCAAGTAAACTTCAAGTTGTTGTTAACTTCTGGTTTTGAGTTTTCTACTTGCTTTTGGTAAAAGTTGGTACAAGTAATCGTTAGTAAGAGTTGTGATTGAATAACAATAAAATTTAAACTTTAAAATTAATTTTTCAATAACTATCTTATCAAATTTTTTTGTTATTAGTATAAAAATCATTAAATTTTAATATACTAAACTTTTAAAATTTTTAAGCATAATCTTGATTTTTTATTAATTTTTAATTGAATCCAATTAATTTTTTAATTTTTTGTAAAAAAAATTGTTTAAAACTTTAGCTTTTATCTGAAATTTTTTCTAATGATTAAAAATTTTCTAAAAAAATACACAATTTAGACCAACTATTCACTAAATTTTTGAAAAGTTTCAAGGCTGTAACACCTTTCTGTAAGCAAATATAGGTGCAGGGTTTTTTTATCTAGCACTATACTTTAATCTTGATTCTTCAAACAGATTTCAGTATAAACTTGAAACAAGTAATTATTAAAAAGAGTTGTTTTTGATTAATTACTAATTTTAACAAAACTAATATATATAATTTTTTATATTTTAAAAATTTTTAAAATATAATATACTACAGTAATACAAAAATATAAATCCAAACTATTAATTGTAGTAAATTAAAATAAAATTAAATTAAAATAAAATTTGTATATAGTATAAAATTAATAAATCACTAAAAAATACAAAATTTTAAAAAATATTTTTTTAAATAAAATTAATAATAAACAAGTATAAGTTTTAAAAATTTAAATAAAAACTTTAAATCAGATTTTATTATAATTCGCGATATTAATTTAAACAAAATTTTTTTAGTAACCACTTAATCAAATTTAATAAATTTTATTAAATTTGATCAAATTATTAAAAATATATTAATTAAATTTTAAATAAAAATACTTTTTTATTTTTAATTAATTAAATAGAAGATAGAGAGTTAGATACTTAGAATAGCGCTTCCTTTATTAAAAACAAATTTGTCTAAAATAATTTACAAATTAAAAAATCAAATAAATATATTAGTATTCATTATTTATTATATATAATCAAATAATTTATAACCAAGTATAAATTATTTAAAATTGTAGACTAACACTTTCTAAAGTCATTAAAATTGAGTATTATAAACTAACATGCATTGTACCGATGCTTCAAGTACTTACAAAACAAAAACAAAAAGCTTTTAGTTGCAATATTTAAAAAGCTGAGCCACAAATAATATTGATTCGAGGGATATGTAACTTATTTATTAAAGAATAATTCGTGAAATGTTCACGTAATTTGGACATTGAAAATTTAATCAAAATTCACTATCAATTACCACGATTGAAAGGGTTCTGATCAATCAAGAATTTTCAAGCTTCGTCTCGTTTACACTACATTTGACCCGTGAATTGATGATTAGATAACGACTCTACCAGGCGCGGTTCTTGGCTTTGATCACAAGGCTTATGGAATGAGAGAAGGCTTTGCTCGTGTCTCGCGAAAATACTTTTGATCGATCGATATATTTTAAATTTTCGACTATTTTATTTCACTTCCAGCAAGTTTTAGTATCATACCCGTTATTTTTTTAAAACATAATACCAAATATTAGTTGGTGGCTTTGCTGTATAAAATAAACATGTGGCGAGGATTTCCCTGATTGTCAAGCTCGTGTAACCTAGCTCAAAATTCATGGTAATGGTTTTTTTTCTTTTTTTGAGCTTTAGAACAGTATCTTATTCAGTCCGCTATATTTTGTAAAATTTCTTGCATTTAATATTATTTTGTTGTTTAGGCTCTGTCCAAAAATTTGGTTTTTATTGTGGTATTGCTAACATGGAGCCTGCGGACGAACCACCGGGCGAATCTTTTCATACTGTTCCAATTTATCAATTTGACGCGTCTTCCGATAGTGATTCTGACGACCCAGGACGAATTGTTCCTCCCGTAGGACCTGTGCTTCAGACGCCGCCTACTCAGCCTACCCAACCTACCCAACCTACCCAATCTACTCAATCTATTTTATCTCATAGAATACCGGTACAACCTCCGCAACGTTCTTACACGGCTCCACTAATTCAACATGAACGACAGCCCTCAGAGGTATCAATGGTCGCGGAATCTATACAGACTAGGCCAAGCATGGACGACGACGATCTATTCGAGGATAGCACCAGTGAAGAAGAGCAATATCCGGAAGTTTCTACAGGACTATCAACACGGTCTCCTGGAGCTCCAGTTTTACCAACTATGTCAGCAAGTCCGACTCCAGCATATGAAAGTCGGGGTATAACAGACGTTCCGGACATTCCAGGAAGGGTAGATACTCGGGGTATAATGCCTTCTTCATTAACAAGCGCTCCTATAAGTTCCGAAAGAAGATTGCATCGATCAAGTTTGGAACAAACCCAATCGCCCCAAGGTTTGTATTATATACTCATTTAATTAATGGATTGGCGTGTACGAAATTAGGAATTACAATACTTTAAGATTGTCAGATTTCGTATATTTAACGAGACTGTTAGAACACATATTACAAATCTCAGTCGTGCAAAATGTCCGATAAGGTGATTATTTATAATCGAAAGATTTGTAAAATGTTCTATTTAATTCTCATTGTTATGATAATAAGAACCGTAATAGATGACGATTGATAGAGGTCTTTATCTCAAATAATATGTATAATCTAATTTCAAAAAAAAAAAAAAAACAATCTTTTTTTTTTTTTTTGCAGTTACGCAACCTCACCCAGCCTTCGATAGTGCTGCGCGTGGAACGCAAAAAGAGATATCTGAAAAAGAACGCCGTGATTCACGAACATATCATCATCATCGAGAATCATCAGATCTTTTGCCATTGACACTTGTCTCTGATCGTGGATCGAGCGGTCTTTCATTTACAACAAATTTTGCATACCTTCCGTCACCATTTGGCCGAGTAATAACACGTTCACAAATAATGGCACGGGTGGCTTGGTTCTCACAATTAGCTATATTCAATATTGTCTATGCGGGCTATAAACTAGGTGGACAAAGTACAAATACGTCAACTAGTGATACTAATATCAACGATGGAAAAAATTACGCAGCCAACCTTATCGGATTGGTTATTTTTCCTATTATATTCTTCATATTATATATTGTCTTTGTAACAATTTGGACATATCTAGATCTTCGAAGAAAAGGATTTGACACGTCATTCACAGTCTTATATTATTCTCCTTTAATGCTTTTTTCAATATTTTTCGATGAAACAAGACGTGTAGATGTCTCCAAGTTTCATGAGGTTAATTATGGTGCTAAATGGTGGCGATTTGGAACCACTAGGGTTCGTGAAGGCATAATCATGACCTTTTATTGTTTATTTGTACTTGCATTTGTCTTGT